TTACTCGATGAGATTGCTGACAACCTAGGAGTAGTTGGCGACGGGATCAATTTCTCCGTCTGCTGACTTGGATCAGGGCTGCCTGAATTAGTTGGGGCAGTCCATATGGAGTCGGATAGGCCTTTGGTGACGAATTCGTCGACGGCCCTGTCAATCATGTCGATCTCCGGGGCATCCATCACTTTGGTGGTGATGGCAGCTTCGGCATTATCAATTTCCATCTCATTGATGGTGATGCCGTATTCCAATAGGCGCGACCGTAGTCGGAGCTTGGCGTAATCCATAAGCGAGTGCTGGCGTTTCGTAACTCGTACCAATGGCATGAACGCCAGCGGTAAAATGGGTCCACGGGTTTGAATCTCTCGAGGGTGGTGGGAAGATAAAGATTGATAAGGTATTGAAGTGAGGTAAGGGTGTTAGATTGCTGTGGAGGCGATTAAAAATGGAATTGCGATCGAATTAAGAGTTGTGACCGGGCCTGTATGATGGACGAGTAGTTTATGTAACATTACAAAGCCTGCTACATTTAGGATCCACAGATCTACTGTCTCAAGTGGGATATATGTCCAAGCTATTGAGACTCTACTTGGCAGACCGGCCAAGACGATAAACCATTGCACCATACAACAATGGCGGCGTTTATAGTGTAGCCTGCACTCAGGCGTCAAACTTGTTGGGTGCGAAGAAACGGCAACGAGGAATAATTTGTATTTTTTTTCGTGGGCTAATCATTTTGATTGTGCAAAAGTTGTAAGAGTTTGGCTTTGATAGAAGAGTTCATTCCCAAAAGCGTAATTAACTTCACGCCTATGTGTTCGATCTTGCCCTCCGAAGAGTGTACCACTGCACCATCCAACCTGGCAAATCACGGAACCCTCACCATTAACTTATTATATGTCTGATTTGGCATACAAAATTGACTAAAGCTCCTCTCGCTTTTCCTTAATCAGAGATTCCAAGTCGAGGCAAAGGAGCGGGTCCAAAACTAACCAGGTGATGGCGGTGTCAGTGAAAGCCATTATCATTTGTTTCATTTTCATATAGCCCGTTCAGGTACCCTGTAGACTCATGCAGGTATATCTAGCTATGATATTTACAAAGGAGGAAATCAATTCGGTAAAAACTCCAAAAGCTATCTGTCTCATGTCTATTGGTCTGTCTGAGGTTTCCTACAAAGAGTGCGTTTACTCTGTGCATACAGTGTGAATTCCATCCCATCCTTGCACACATCGTTTCATCTTTTCGCCCAATGCTATATCTACTTCTACTGCAAACCAGCCGTTTGCCAGGGTCCTTGTGTGATTCTCTCCATATCATGTGGTCTGTTCATCTTTGCCGCAGAGGACCTATCTTTTGCTTTTTGAAGCACCTCTCCTCTTCCCACTGCCCACTGAGGACACGCCAGACCATATTTTGACATTTTGAGACGTATATCCACACTGACATTATGGATTATTCACTCACGTGACTTTCCTTCTATACAGATAAGATTGAGACCAATGTGCCCACTTCTTATCTGAACTGCAATACTGCTTTAGGCCCTCCTAAGGTTCCGGTGGATATTTGAGGGTGTGTTTCTAGAGGTAATCCTTTTTCTGCCTGTTTTCTCATCTGTAACAATATTTGGGGCTTTCCAATGTTCAGGGTCTGCTGAAGCTCAATGACCAACCCATTATTAATGTTAATTGCTCCAAGCAGAAACAAACTCAGAGGCCTCGGCAGTTAGCAACTGCAGATTCTGAAACTTGGAGAGCAGCCAAATTTTACCAAAGTAGAGAGTCTGGACGGCAAAAACTGAGTTTTCGAGCCTCACCATTCTACCTACATCGTAACCTAACAAGGGCCCAAAGCAGTTTGTCAATGCAAATACGAAATGAGCACATGGGGCTTAACTCGTGTGTGAGTGTTTATTGTCCTAAAAAGTCTATAACTATGTAAGGAAATGTAGGTCCTTTCTGCCCACAGGCCGGGAGTATCTATGCCTCGGGTAGTGTACTTCATCCTTTGCCTCCTTCACGACTTCTTTCCAGCAGTAATACCCCCACAGGTCTTCATTCGAGTACACACTAAGAGGAGCCGTTATCCCGTCATTATCTCCACTCTCCAGCCAACTAAACGATGGCCATTTGCGGGTGTGTAGCTGCAGGGAAAATTCTCAAAAACCACTGGGTGCGGGACTCTCCTATGACGAAGAGGCCGGCCTGCCGGGCGCAGCAGACCTGTGTATACCTAAGAGCGTCTCTCAACCTTCCTAGCATCCTCATTACTCCTCCCTTGATTCATGCCGCAGGACAAACCGAAGGTCATGAAAGGATGTTAGAAAAGTCTTGGTCGAGAGTGACTCTTGTGAAGGAGCCTAGCCTAGCATACAAAAGTCGTTACGGACGTGGAGTTGTCGAGTAACTCATGTATTTCAGATGCCCTCCTGGCTAGTAGATTCGGAGGTATAGATTAGTAGGGACGATACTGTTTACGAGTCGAAATCTGCTTTTCTTGAGGGCGGAAGGGTCTTTTACTTTACTTTCGTGGGCTTTTTGTTTGCCCGCCGGTGGGTAGCACATGTTGTAATGTAACGAGGGCTTCTCTGACTACCGTTGTAGCGTTTGGTACCGCATTATCTTTCCTCATTCCCAGCATCATTATCATCGTCTTGGTCGTCTTATGTGTTATCGGAAGCGTATCTTTGACGGAGGGAGAGATAACTCAGCTCAAAGTTGATAAGGTGCTACTCAATCTCGGCTCTGCAGACTCTACACTGAGAGCTGGAGGTTCGTAGGGGACACCACTGACAGGGGTTGGGAATAGTCCCCCTTGGCTTAACTCGTAATTAAAGAGAAGAAAAGTACCCGAAGTCTACAGTCCAAACTGTCCATGTAGCTACCAATCGCAGAACCCCAAGCATATGATTATGTCCTGCCCCCGATGGTCAAATGGTAGAGCTGAGATCTGGAGACAAGCCAAAGATCGGTCCTACGAAGCGATGATAAACAATCCTGGAAATATAAAAAGGATAACACAGTGAATCCTAAACCATGGTTGGATAGAGCAATGCCAGATGAGAAAGGCGGTCGAAATGCTGCTGAGGGAAAGGAAGAGGTCAAATAATGCTTGGGGCAGATAGAGATGATCTGGTTGGTTTACATGGATGGCATTATAGTGTACCTGCGCTTCCTGAAGAAAATATGTGAGAACTATAGACAACAAGTAGAAAGTTGTGGGAGATTTTCACCATAGAGGTTTCCTCCTGTGTAAATATTGTATATTGTAGACACCTGCATGGGCGCATTGGGCGCCAAATCAGGATAATGAATCAAATTCAAATATTAATTGTATTCTTGTCATTTCTCAGTATATGACTATATGGGACGTGCAGGCCCTTTCTACCCACAGGCAAAAGATACTTGAGAGTGCAGGCAACGCTATAAATACCGTCATGGTTGGATGGTGTGGTGGTAAATCTTATTGGCCGGCCTGCCAAATAGAGTCTGAATAGCTTGGACACATCCCTCTAGAGACAGAAGATCGCTGGTTCAAATCCAGCAATACACAACCACATTTCTCGCGGCGCTGGTATGCATGGATGACAAAGGCATGCTTGGACAACCAAAGGTTCCGAAATTCCCTTTGGTGGGTACTAACGGAGGAGGGTCAACTGTTTGTGTAAGCAAGCATGCCTTATAGTGGTATTTGCGAATGAAATCCAGAGTATGAGTGTCTCTAACGTCAATTTTTTTTTTATAATTATTTAACGTCGTGCTAGCTCACAACACAACCTTAAGGTCTCGTGTTGGCCAGCTCAGTCTACATAAACTACCCGGCGTGTCTCTAACGTCAAAAGAGTCATCCTACATGTATACATAGTACCGGTCATGTGTCATAGCTCTATAGCTGAATGCACATTAAATGATTTAAAAAAAAAAAAAAAAAAAAGAGTTTGACGTCTACCTATGTATCATCAATTCTGCAATTACGACCTAGTACATCCTCATTCCAATGATCACACCACTCCTCGACCTTCTCTGGCCTCAGTTGACCACCATATACACGCCCCCGCCGACATTTACACTCGCAGGAGGAAGCAAAGCGTGGTGCACAAATCTGGGAGACATTTCTTTGGGATGGACGTGAGAGGATTCAGGACAAGTTCACAAGATGATGCGAAGGAGGGATATAACTTCGAAGGGCATGAGATTCCGAATTTTGGCAAGTAGTTTTACGAATTGGGCTTTGTGCGCGCCAAGACTTCGCTCGCGAGAGTGCAGCTGACACTATAAACACAAGCCAACGATGGAAGGTGCCGTAGTCCGGCTCCTGGTGGTGTTCTCTGGTATAGTCTAAGTGGCCTATGCACCTATTCCACTTGGGAAGGAGACACCTCAGATTGCATTTCGCGCGGAGAAAAGTTGATGGATGACGGAGGCATGTCTGGATAACCGAGGGTTTTTGAGACGTTTCCCTGGGTGGGTATTCACGGATGAGGGTTGACTTGGGGTGAAGAAAAAGCCACCATAACTTCGCAGTGGTACTTGCAAATGAAATCCGAGGCATGAGTGCTCTTCCTTTACGATGAATCATCTATTCTGTACTTTTCTTTGATATTGTGTCATAGCTAGATAGCTGCATACGCAACTAAAATCTAATGTAAAAAAATATCAAAAAAATAAAAGCCTGTGCACAGATCGAAGCCGGCTAACTTTTATTCGAGAGACAAGTGGACGCCTATCTACGTGACTAATATTTGTTACATTTATTTGAACCTCCCCAACACCTATACCCACCGCCGCCATTCTTTCAACCATCTCATGACAAATTTGCCGACCTCTTTTATCATCGTAAGATCCCAGACTATTTTCCCAAGCAAGCTGAGCCATAATTTGACCTCTTTCTAAAATAGCAACCCACCTCTGATTGACGTAATAATAAACAAGCACCTAACATTCCCATGTAGAATTCTTCTCCTATGAACGCCACATAAACTTTACTGGTCCACGAATTGTAGATTAAATATTTCTTTCAATTGCATCTATTCTTGCCTGTAGTATTTTATTTCCCTGAACCAATTCTTCCAACCAATCTGCAGCCTGGGCTAAGACGGCACTTTTGCTAAAGCCCCCACCCTGAAGTCCTGGTACTAGGTCGTTAAGATCTTCAAAGCCCTCACGAATAAGTGTTCGTCTCTTTTGCTCGCTTTTGATATGATTTTCTCTTTTCTGTTCTTCCGTTAAGTTTTCTCGAGTTGGCTTGGCTATTGCGCCGACCGTTGATCTTCTTCGCTTCTGACTTGCTTCATATTCGAGTGTAGAAAAATCGACTAGATCTTTGTTACTAATCTTCCTTTTCTTTGCAGAATTATTGTTTGTTGGAGAGTTTAATTGAACATCATCTTCATTTATCTCCTTGACTTCAATACTTCTCTTCGTGTTTGATTCAAAATCTCGTATATTATCAGTATGTTTTTGAATTAAAGAGTTGAATATTTGCTGCGAAGTTTTGGGGACCGTTACAATCGGCATCAGAGTTGCCATATCACAACTTTGATTTTGAGGATTAGTTAGATTAGCCTCCACACCATGTAACTGGTAAGCCTCGGATACTGGGAGGTTTTGTTGGCAATGCGGTATAAATCCTTGGGATGCAAAATTAGCATCTGATCCCCATTGTATATCAGAACCTTGATTCGTATGTTGATTGCACGCTATCTCATCCAGGTGCTCACTGAATAAAACACCCGAATGTACTGGACCGTTGATGAAATTACCTCCATGAGATCGGGGTTGGAATATGGGTTGAATTCGTGACACAGACTGTGTATTTGCTCCTGCTCTCATAGGTTCGCTTGTAGGCAAGAACTGTGCTTCTTGATTCCGACGAGGTACCTCAACTGTGTTCGGACGCCGCCCATGTGGTACATTCTGCAATAGTGCTGCCGCCTGCAAGACTTCTAGAGAAGCTGGTGGTACATTGGAAATGTTGGGGTTGAGTTGTGTATTAATAGACCCGTAGTTCATTCCGGTAACGCCATTATGGAGCCCAATCTGTGATTGATGACCATAAGATGAATTCCCCATAAACATCGGCGGAAATTCATCCAAAACCATTCCTATTTCTGATGCATTATCGAGGTTGAATAGCTCGAGATTGAATTGATCTGAGCTCACGCCATCAAAAAAGCTGTCGAGTATCTTTGACTCATTATCGTCCAAAAGTGATGGTCCTGGTGCTAGATTAGGTGGCGATGGAAATGGGTAATTAAGGCCAGTATCGTCAAAATAGTCTGGCCCAGAGTAAGCCTTGAGTTTTGCAGAGTACGTTAAAAGTATACATACAGCCAAACGGCATCTCAAGATTCGGCGGCTTCGACGAACCCATGCTAGGTTGCTGAGCGGCAAGCATGAGTGCCGAGTTATAAAGCTTAGAATTTAACTTTTGAATTGTACGTATGCTTGACGCCGTTAAGTACTCCTAAGGGCTAGTGATAAGGTCTGTGTTATCATTCTCGAAAGCTTGCATTAACAGCCCTTGAGTTTTTGGAAGATTTACCATAGAAACTAGTTGAATTGACTTGAGGACAAGTGATAGATGAGAAGAATGTTGTAAGATTCTGATATTGACGTTCTAGGCAGTGCACAAACTTTATGGAAAGGGTTGCCCTGCAGAGAAATGGGGGCAGAGAAGGACGGCACGGCTTTGGCGGGGAAGCTGCAAACTAGTGTACCAAAGAACTTGAACGAGTGATGAAATTATGGACGATGTAAAATAGTTTAGCGAAAAATAACCACGAATTCCAATTATTACACCTTAAATTTTCAGGCTTTAGACTGGATGGGATTTTCGCGTCGTGCAACAATCTAGACAGGTCGGTTTGTTGATGAGCAGCTGTGGGGGGGGGGCCCGGTTAGGATTTGCTCAACCTAATTTCACATGTCAATTATGTAGATGCCTTCTAGAACTGCGAGGCCACAATACCCATTCTTGGCCTAGTGTTATGTCATGTCTCATTCGTTATGTCGTTCAGACGTTCTGCCCCATCTTGAACAGCTCGCAAAGGCACCAAGCGGATGTCAGCTCCCTAGGGGCAATTCGCATCTCACCAACTTTGCCACATTGATTCCACACCAATTCTGATGCGTCGTATCGTACTTTTATTGTTCACCCGAACCTCCAAAATTTGGACCCACTCGAGGTACTAAGTACACGCACGCCTCAAAATGACGATTACTCCTTCACTGGAGAAGAGAATGGACTATCTCTTCCAAAATTTGCCTAATTCGTTTGGTAACTAGCCCAGAATAACCTTGGGATTTTAGACTTTGGTCTATGGGGACTAGATTATAGCAAACGTGAAAAATAAGTTCTTCAATCTGATCAAGGTTTGGAAAAAAATACCCTACCGCTAGCGTTATAATTTGGAAACTTTCAAGTGTGCAATTGAAAATGTTCTAAGAGGCAAAATTTCATGAAACATGTAATATACATATATTGAAAATAATCAAAATTTGCGTAGTGTTCACTCAAGGAATGATAGAAAACGAATAACTATTTTTACAATGGACGATATTAATTGAATAAGTGTTAGAAGATTATTGAAGCCTCGTTTTAGCATCGGTGGCGATTATTCGGACAATCTTGACCTGAATTCAATCAAACCTTACCTGACCTTCCCTGCTAAGATTCTTAATTCGTAAATTATCTTACAAAAGGCCTGAGTGTTGTTAATCTGGCTAGGTCTATCTTCTCCGATCTACTAATGGAAAGATACATGGCTTTTATCGGCGCTAAGGCCGCCATAAATGGCGCTTTGCGCCACCTAGAACTTGCCCGGAATTTCTAATAGAGGAATTGCCAACCATCAAGTCATTATCAAATTTATAATATATGCTGAGATTATAAAATTAAAGGAAACTAGCTTGAATAGGCATCGAATCTGACTATCGAGCTGGTTTCCAAAAAATGTTAGCTAATAATCCATAATCTGAATAAAAAGTTCCATGCAATTCTCATTATCTCTATCGTTCCAGATGATTTTTCGTCATAATGCCAAAGTCTCCTTTTTTACATTGATATAGTTCCTAGTATATAATACCAGTCTCAATAATGAGTCAAATAAAGATTATTTTTTGATCAAAATTTATGTGCCAAGATTTTTTGAGAAGTTACGGAGAAAAAAATGTGTCATGTAGTCTAATATGTTACCATGCTATGTCATTTTGGGATCACCTGTGCCAAGATGTCGGAATAGCATGGGTTATACAGTGGAACGCTGTCAGAAAGTGAGAAATGATCTACGAGCAGTCTAAATTCCACACACTAAACGATGACGTACTTGTGGATGAAATTTAAGCTCTTTCAAGTATTGTCTTCAATTCACCGTGTAGTACAAAATTTCACTTTAAGTTGCGATTACTACTCTTCATCAGCTTCACAGCTTTCTATTTCATTACATTTCCAAGTTACAATTTAATAACGGCAAAAAAGAGGGAGAAGAAAAATCAGCACCTGTCAGTGGTATCCCTGTCACGAAATAAGGTCGTGGTCTGTACGATCGAACGAAGTAATTAGAGTCTATTATTATCCGCTAAAACGTTGAAAAAACAAGAATCGCTCTATGATGCGCTCAAGAAGAGTTCGTAACAGAAATAAAATTTACAGGGGTCAACCCGACGGGCCCAGAACCCATAAAATTCCCCTACAAACCTTCAGCTCTCTCTGTAGAGTCTACAGAGCCGAGATAAACAGCGTCCTTATTTCGATAAGGATTCCCAGTCGTTTTGGCGGTCTATATCGCCTTCATCTCTCAACACATTCCCCTATCACCATCATCATCAAGCTAACCACGATCAGATCAGATGGTAGGGTCGAAACTCTTCTCATCACTCACCCTTGATCACGGAGGAAAAGCCATCCGATGAGTTTCCGGAGCGTACTCAGCACCCGATTCAGAGATGGTGGACTGGATCAAGTCGGCCTCGACTGTTACAAAGAAGGGAGATATAGATGAATATGCGCACCTCATGTGGACCCGGTGTCTAGACATCGCCTGGCTGGGGCTGCAGGTTTTTTGAGACTTTTCCCACGTACGCAGTTTCCATTGCTACCTTTTTTTTTTTTTTGGGTAGAAGGTTCCGTGGAAAAACAGCTAAGTTCGACGGATAAATACTTAGCTGAATGGCCATTCATCATGGGCAATATATCAATGATCTTTGAAGTTACAAAAGAGGATAGGAGCACTGCACAAGATGTGGTCTGGGCCAGAGAGGAGCTCAATGTGTTAGATAGTCTATGACTCAAGGAGTACAGTAAACACATCTCTCCCTATCTCTACAAACCTGGGAGTGATAAATTATCCCAGTGCTAAATTAATTCATATTTCGCAATACCAAACAGTTAGCCTAGGAGGCAATGATTCAGGAGTCATTTTCGCATCTACATTTCATTCTCAACATGATCGATTCAGACAAAGTTCCTATTGAGTCGTTGAGTATGCTCCGTTCCATCCTGATCTCTATGAACATACCTCTCATCGACTCATTCTCTGATCTCAGCTGGCCTCCAAGTAAACGCTCACGACACCACAAATGTCCGCAGGAGAAGATAAACCGATGTGTACAAATTTGGGAGATAAATCTAAAGTTGACCCGGGAGATATTACAACAGTTTAAAAATATGATGCTCTGGATGAAAACATTTTCGAAAGGGGTAAAATTGTGACTAGGGCAGGAGCTTTTACCACTGAAAAGTATTCTGCTCTCCACGACTTGTCTATCAGTGGTGCAGAGCATTTCATAAGCATGTATAAAGCTGAATGGTGCAGTGGTAAACCATCTCGAATAGTCTGTCAATTTAAGTCACGTAAGCTTTTATATATCTCCTGTCAGAGGCTCGAGATATTTTTTTTGCATCAGGTTTGAATTGCAAATACAGCTAGCTAGCTATGACACAATATGAGAGAAAAATTATATAAAATATGCCTCAATTTACAAGAGCACTCATGCCTCGGATTTCATTTGCAAGTACCACTGCGAAGTTACGGCAGCTTTTTCTTTACTCCAAGCCAGCCCTCATCCGTGAATACTCATCCAGAGGTAATTTTCGAAAATCCTGAGTTATCCAGACATTCCTTTATTGTCCATTGACTCGTTTCCGCGCAAAAACTAGCTAAGGTTGATACCGCTTTATTTTATAACTTTTTCAATAATAGAACTCCTTTTAAGTATTCATACCCTTAGAGGTACTCTTTGCCTATAATCCTCTTACCTTTCTAACCAGCGAAGCGGAGGCAGCTTGTAGGTGTATTTCGTTTGAAAATCCCGAATCTAATCTTCCCCAAAGTCTCCATTGGGTAGGGTAGGATAAGATGCTTGTGTAATACTCATGAGAGTGATCAAAAAGATAAGCACCAATTCTTACAATAGCAAATATCTAGCCTTTCGACTGTTGACGGGTAGGCTTATGTGCCCCGGTCACCTTAATATTCTAATAATCCCAACAGTAAAGTATTAATACCTAGCATACCCACAGTAATAGTTCGATCATATTTCTACTCTTGTTATTGGTATTCAACTTTTAAATATCGTGCAAAATTGAGTCCTAGAGACTGAATAATCTAGGCTCATACCGTACGAGGGTATGTTGCGGGGGGCTAAATTGAAGGAACTAAGATAAGTGTCGTGTCATGCCTGTCAATATCTAGTTGTGTTGGGATGGATAGCGCTTTGGCATGCCATCTGTGGTTGTAAGTGTAGTTAGTAACTAGTGTCGTGATCGCCCAACGTCTCATAGACGGGAGATCGCTAGTAAGTGTCAAGCAAAGACTGAACACCGCAATGCGGCTCTGACGGGAAGGATGATACAGGGATACTGGGGCTATGAAAAGTTTCCGTTCTTTCCATGCGACGGGTTTACAAGGTTCGAGAAGGGCTGCAGGTCCCTGCAGATCGAGCATGGGTGGCAATTTCTGAGAAAGAAAATGATCCGATAAATTGCCTTGAACTTATTAGCTATGTAATAGCCCAGATGGGCGGGGAAACAATTGGCTACTGCTAGTTTTTCCGGATGGGATCCGACGGGCGATGAAGTTTGAGCTGCCCCATTTGTTTAGATCTACTGTTTAAGAAATGAAAAATATACTATTTCGCCCTCAGCTTGGCGCGGAATTCTTTGAAACAAATTGACATGAGGTCAAAGATTGTCTATTGGGATTTAGCGCTGAGTGGTAAGTCTTGAATTACAAAGCGAAATCGGAATCTTTCGGCCATGAAAGCTTAGCGCTAGTTGGTAGACAATGCGATATGTGGCACCTTCCAGTCTGATCCCTATCGATCAATGTAGCCCGTGTTGGATGCTGTGAGCTAAAGCCTATGGCTTTGGTATTAATCGTTCGATTCGGTTGGAAG